AGGGGACACCCGCAAGAACCAGATCACAGCGCCACGACACGCGAAGAAACCCCAGACACCGCGAGCTGAGGAAGAAACGAAAAGGAGAAAGAAGAAGAAAGGAAAGGAGAAGGAGAGAGCAAGAGGAGAAGGAAAGGAAACGAGCGAGAAGAGGAAGAAGAGAAAGAGACCATTTGGCCCTCCCCCTCCTCCTCCGCCCCCCATCCTCTACCCCTCCCCTGCCCTCTCTCCCTCTCCCTCTCCCTGCTCTCCCTCTCTCCCTCTCCTCTGCCTCCTCGCCTACTCGCTCCTCGCCACGCCCCCAGCTCGGCCCCATTGTCGCCCTCTCTCCGGGCGCATTATCCCGGTAAATTTGACCGGTCGCCTGCTGAAAGCTGGCAACAGTTTAACCTGAAAGCCACTCCTGACGGTGGAGGCGCGCTCTCGGCGGCGCATTATCCGGCGCGGCGCATCGCTGCGCCATTGTTGTCGGCTTTTGACGGCGCGTCGGCGCCCGACGGCGCTGTCAGCCGGCTGAATATCTGTCAAAACGGATCATGAGGCGGCGCTGGGGCCGATTGTGGACCGGGCGCGCCGCCGGGCCGGCCGGGAAGTCAGGCGGTGGCGGCGGCGAGCCAACATCTGTGCTCAGAGGATCCGTCCTCAGGCGCTCAGGCCCGGAGATCAGGCCTCATGACGCTGTACGGCCTGATCTCAAGCTAAGGAACTCATGAACGCTCTCATCCGAAAGACCCGACCTAAAGCCTTTCTAAGGACCTGTTCTCGTGACGCTGTAAGCTCCTGTCTGTTCTTAAGCGAGGGACTCGTCCTCAGACTGAGGAGGGCTTTCCTCATATCTTGGGAGGCTCGAACCCCGCTCCTAGTGTTATCATTCTTAACATTGGCCTCATGGGTATCGTGCTGCAGCGACCGACTGTGAGCTACGATGCAGACACAAGAATGTCCAGAAAGGTTTACTGCCGCCCCTTGACACAAGCTTCGAGAGCCGTCTTTGAGCCGTTTCCAGCAGCCGTCCCCAGCCTGCCCGCACCGGAGCGCGTCCCGGAGGCCGGGGACGGAGACGGCCCGCCGTCGCCGACCCTCGTCCGTCACGGCCGTCGCCGCCGACGCATCCGTGACGGACCGTGCCGCGTCACCGGCGGCCGACGACTCACTTGGGACCGGCACCGGCTAACCAGCCCTGACAGCGGCACAAAGCAACACCGGGAGGCGTCGTTTTTGCCGCGGCGGACAAGCGCGGAGCCCGTTGTGCGCCACTTCACGGCGCCAAGTCGCGCCGCTCGGCTGAAAGGCGCCTTTATGCGGCGCGCTGCCGCTCCCGCGAGCGCCCGGCAAAAGCCCCCCGCGATTACAATTCTGTTTTCTACAAACGCCCCAGTCCAGCCCATAGGCGTCCAACGAGCCGTTGAATGAGAACATATTGAGAGATAAAATAATGTTGTCGCTGAAAGGGTTGAGCCCCGCCGGCGCCGCTGGCGCTCATCAATTAATCAAACATTCTATATAAAGTGAAACGGGCGGGCGGCGTGATTTAGGGCCGTCGCTGCTGGCGGCGCGGCGGCGATTCGCTGCGCCGGAGACGGCGGCGGCGTTATCGGCGCTGACGACAACGGCGACGGCGCCATCCGGCGTGGCGACGCGCGAGGAGAGGACAGCGTCATCTGGAGCAGCGTCGTCCGGGATCATGGCATTGGGGGCAACGACGGCGTCATCTGACACTGTCAACCCAGCGAAAGTCTTCGGGCGGCAGGGAGCGGACGAGTTCAGCAGCTGGAAATGTTGAACGCTTTGGAACATTGCAGGCTTCGATCAGTTCTTACTGAATCTGCCTGTCTGGTGAGTGAGCCTCCGGAGTTACAGTACGTTTTGTTCAAAAGTAACTAGAGTCACCTGTGCCGTGCAACTGCATCAGAAAAACCGTCGACTAGTTTCGCGTTGTGGCCTATGCTCAGCCAACCGTCGCTGTTCTCCTCCGTCCTCGCTGCGAACCACCATCGTTTTAAGGGTGGCTTTCCTTCGACACCGATTTAACCCGCATAGTCCAACAGCCTTGCGAGAAGCTCGCCGACGGTCCACAGATAGTTGTTGTCCATTGGACGAGGTTTGTGAAAGCTCACTGGGCCATGTGTCCCTCCTCATTGTGCAGGTGACGTTGCTTTCCATCTTGTGGTTAGGAGAAGGTCACGTAGGCCAATAGGTGGTCAGGTGACAATGCGACCTGAGTACTCTGTGTGTGTCATGGGGCTTTACGACGCACTCAGCTGCTGAGGCTATATGGCGTCGCTTGCCTCTCACCCTGGCAGGAGGGCGGGCACCGCGGGGAATCGAACCCCGTACCTCTGGTTTTCCCAGACGCGCAGCGGTTAACGCGGATGCGTTACACCACTACACTACCGGCACCCCCAACCTGAGCACTCTGTGTTCCGTGATCTGGCTATGTTGTGGACGGAGATAGTGGCGGTGTTCGAGTGAAGCTCTGACTTCAGTTCGGCTATCCAGCTCGCCCCGTGCCATGGCGGCCACTGTATTTCTTGCAACCGCCCCCGCTCGGCGTCCGTTCCCAGGTTAACTCTGGCGTGCCCTGTGTCCCGTTCTGACAACCCGTCCCCGCCCCAGGGTCCGTCCCCCAGTTGATCCCGACGTCCCTGTGTCACGTTCTGACAACCGTCCCGCCCCCGGGTCCGTCCCCAGTTGATCTCGACGTCCCTGTGTCACGTTCTGCCACCGGTCCCGCTCCGGCGTCCGTTCCGACTGATTCTGACATCCCCTGTATCCCGTTCTGACACCCGTCCCCCCCCCCCGGGGTCCGTTTCCAGTTGACTCCGACGTCCCTCGTCCGCGTTTGACTGACCCTGACGCTCGGCCGTGTCCCGTGCCATTCCAGGTGACATTCCGCCTCCCGTACGGCCCTCTGGGCCGCCGATATCGTGATCAGGTGACATTCGCGCGGCGGCTGGCGGTGTCCGACGGCGGGCGACGCGGGGCCGCGGCCGCCGCGCGCTAATGAGGGCCGGTCGGACGGGCCTGGCCGCCGTGTCCTTACCGGCCCATAAAGAACTCGACCGTCGTCCGGCGCCGGAGACAGCGGTCGCCGCGCGGCCAACGCGCCCAATTTATGCGCCGTAATGACCGACGCGGCAACAGCTGGCGCGCCGCGTTTCCACATTTTCATTCAAATGCGCGCGCGCCAGGTCCCGCGGGTCAGCAGACGGCGCCGGACGGGCGGAGGCGGGGGCGCGGCCGTGCTCTTCAATGGTCGATGGTATCGGCGAAGGGGTGAATACGACCGGCGTATTTAGGGTGCAAAGACGGGTTTTTTAAAACGCCGACTCGACTCCCCGGAGACTGGAAATGCCGGCTGCTGCGCCGTTGCGCCGCGGGTCTTTTTGTGCGTCGAGTGGGCGGCAGAAGGGAAAGGGTGGCGCTTTGTGGAGCATATGCCGCGCTGGCGCATTGTCCTGTTACGACCGCGCGCCCCGCTCGGCACGGCTTTATGTGCTCTCAATCATCTGCAAATAACGCAGTCAGTGATTCGGTGAATATGCTGGGACGCAAGCCCACAGTGGCGTCAGGATTAGTGACGCAATAGGTGGACGCAAATGCCGGAAATGGTATCGATGCACTCGGGGGTTTTGCCGCAGCTAAAGCCAGCAATTGTACCACCGAGCTTTGTCGAAGGCTGCTAACGTTGACCTTTGGTTTCGTGCCCCGAACTCCGAAAAGTGCTTTACGATCCGCGGTGTAACGCTGCTGTTCAAGCTCATTGCCAGCTGCCCTGGATTGTTCTCCGTCTACTCCGATGTACGGACGGCTGCATATGCCACTTCACGGTATGATGAGGCCAGGTGGCGGTTCAGACTTTCTCAGCTTGCTGTCGATTACCAGTCTTTCATCTCGGTCGCAGACTCCTCAAAAGTCGCCCGCCACCAACTGCGCCGTATTGGCCGCGTCAGCTGCCACACTGTCCGCTAGAGACTGCTTCAGCAGGTCGGTATCCTCCAGCGATTCGGGTGGCAAGTTGTCACAGTATTGCGATTCTAAAGCGCTTGCCGTCAAAAATCGGATTCTCCAAAGCAGCCTGGCGAGACAGAGCAGCTCAAACAGCCCGGCAAGATAGAGCAGCTCGAACAGCCCGGTGAGATAGAGCAGCTCAAACAGGCTCTCGAGATAGAGCAGCTCGAACGCCCGGCAAGATAGAATAGCTCGAACAGCTGGGCGAGACAGAGCAGCTCAAACAGCCTGGCAAGATAGAGGAGCTCGAACAGCTGGCGAGACAGAGCAGCTCAAACAGCCCGGCAAGATGAGCAGCTCGAACAGCTGGGAGACAGAGCAGCTCAAACAGCCTGGCAAGATAGAGGAGCTCGAACAGCCTGGCGAGACAGAGCAGCTCAAACAGCCCAGCGAGACAGAGCAGCTCAAACAGCCTGGCGAGACAGAGCAGCTCAAACATCCACGTCCGCAGAGCATCCGCCAAGGACCGACTCTCTACCTTGCACGCCCCACCCAGCAGGCGCGCTGGGCCCGCCAGCGCGGTGAGACCCGAGCGGTCACGGCCGGCGTAGATACGACACCCCACGCTCGTCTGACCGGCGACGGCTCAGCGTCGCTTCTGCTGCCAGCCTGCCGCTGCTCCACACTGTCTGCCTGCTGACGACTGCCGGGGAGTGGGGGAAGGGGGGGGGGGGGTCCGTCAAGCCGCACCTAAACTGAGCTTTGAACGCATTGGACTCGTGAAGGACATTCAATTCATAAGCAATGTTTGTAATATGTGGGGACGATGCTTCTTACTGTCTACAGTCGGCAATTTCTTTGTCTTACCTTAAATTGTATGCAACAATTGAAGGCGCGCAGAGAGCTCCTCGAACCCTTTCTAAGTATTTAAATAAATAAACGTTTTCGTCCGCGCCTTTTCGATGTAATTGACTTTAGGGACAGATTCCACGCCAAGCACTGTTTGTTGTGAACCTGACCCTTTACCATCCGACCGTGAAATTGCTGCCACTCAACGGCCGTATACATATGGCCGTTGAGTGGCAACATATATACAGATTATATATATATATATATATATATATATATATATATATATATATATATATATAGTAATTGGTGCACAGGTTATGCCCAACGATGTGAGGACTATTCGAAGGTATATGAGAATAGTGAATAGCAAGTGAAACGCATTCTGCATCCCAATGATAACCTGTAAAAATAAGACGGTGATGGAGTTCAATAATTCTGACAGATTCCAAAAAAACGTCGTTGCATCGGTTTGCTTTTGTTGTACACCTTGTTGTATCACCATCGCCGAAAGAAATACATTTTTGTGATTCCTGATGGTATCACCCATTCAGCATCTACGCGTACCATTAGCAAGAGGATGTTACGATAGATCTAAAAACACTTTAATCGATCTTTCTTGCTTAGAAAGCGTCCACTTTTCATGCATTTGGAAACAGTTTCACGATAACAGCCATTAGCAGCTAATAGAGGAAACACATCCACTTTCCCCAAATTTTGGCGTCTTCGCTGCATTCCTCCTGTAGGGAGCTTCAGTGTATGCACGCGAGTGCAATGCACATAGTACACACACAGCACAATTCGACGATTTATGCACCTCATTAAAGTCCCCTCTTTCCACGGTCCCCCGGAAACTGGAAAAGCCGGAGACGCTCTGGCAGTCTCACGCGTAACAAACATGTTGACAACTCCGGCGCGGGACCCAGCCTGCAAACCGCCGCCGGCGCGCCGCGATCGTCCCGACCGCGCCTGCGCGCAGGTCGCCAGCCGTTAGCCGGGCGCCCGGCCATTCTGAAGGACGATCTTCAGACGATGGCGACGCTTAACGACTTGTTTGGGAGCGCATTAGCTGGGCTCATCAGGTGATTTGAATACCGCTGGGAGCCAGCCGAAGGGTCATATATCACGCCGGCCTGCAGGAGGTTGTGTAGGTGTATGACGGCCTGGGGGTGGTGCGAGGTGGTGGGCGGTGGTGCTGTGGGACCGTGCTCCTGTGCCGTTGGCCAGTGTTTGGTGGGACGCTGGCCCACGCTGCCGCGTGAGCGCTGGTCTGTCAATTACGGACAGTAGCACGCGCTACATGCAACTGGGGTTCATTTCTGCTTTGGTGCTCTTTTACGAACTCAAAACACAAAAATAGTCATATCTGTCAAAAAGTTAACAGGGTGTGTACCCGTCAGACCCCAATGATGGTTGCATTCATATCTATCAGCATTCAGCAGCCTCCAACTCCGTAATGCCAGTCAGAGGCAGCACAAGACACCATTCAGCCATCACAAGTCCAGTCAAAGGCGGCACGGAACACCATTAGCCATCACGAGTCCAGTCAGAGGTGGCACGAGACGCCATGCAGCCATCACGAGTCACCTCCCCAAGCTTCCTCGAACACTGACCACGGCCAGCACACAAGTATCACCAAACACCGACTGTCGTCCCCATCCGCAAGCATCGTCCCTGTGCTTCAAACATCGCTGGGGTCGACGAGGCCAGGACAACCAGTTCATGACTTTTGAACATTTTCTACTATTGTTGCGTTTTGCCTTCTAACATAGCATATAAAAATCACCCCACTACACTAAAGACGTAGGTTTTTGCCCACAGCCACACCACCATCAGCAGAGCGACCCAGGCGCGCGGGCTGGGCTGGGAGCGGCGGCGGGGCGGCCAGCCGGCCCGGACCTCCATTTTGCGCCGCCGGGCGCCGCGCGTGCCGGCGGGCAGTATGCGCCGATCGATCGCCGAGCGGGGCGCGGGCCAGCATGGCCGCCGGCGGTGCTCGGAGCCGCCAGCGCGGGTCAGTGGACGTCCCGCGCGGGCCACGCACGCAGACAGCGGTCACACGGCTCTGGAGCGAGCGGTGCTGCTGCCTGCTGGATATGAACGCCACAGACTCTCTTGCTGTGCTCAAACGTCTTGTGCGCTGTTACAGGCGCTGGCTGGTGTTATCAGGCTATCTTTCTAGTGAATAAAGGGAAATTCCTGGACTTTTTAGGCTCGCCACGTAATGTGCAATTGCTACGGATGCGTCCAGGAATGGCGCTACTGAACGAGCCAGCGGGGGCACAGCTGGGTCTCAGCCGTGTCAGATACCGTAATTAGGCCGCGAAGAGCCGTTCATCAGCGTTTGTGTTCCACTTGGCTTTAGTTGGAGGGAAACCCGTTCTAATTCGCCGAGCACGCATGTGTTAACTGCTACTCTAGACCCACAACGATTGGGAATTCCAAGACTGTTTCATGCATAATATACGTGAGTAAATTAAGAAATGCGGTGCAACTTATTCATGACCATGACGAATGCGGAGGCAGTTTATAACAATTAAATCGTTCCTTCTCCAAGTGTCCTTCCGTGTTCACCTGAACGTAAGAGTGAAATGAGCTGATGCTTCAAGAGAACAAATGTTTTCATGAGTTCTTATCTTGAAAATTACTCCTATTATACGAGCCTTATATTGCCCGACCTCCATTATACCTGAATGTGCCGCGCTAAACGATGTTATCAAGGAAAAGTGTCCTGCGTGGTGAAAATGCTCGACGTTTGAAGGCAGTGCTCATGGTCAAGAGTTAGTGCGGTGAGGCAATAGGGTTCAAGGCGTAAGGAGCCTTGAATACAGAAA